GATGGCTACATAGATAGGTAGATAGATAGATAGATAGATAGATTGATAGATGGATGGATGTTATAGATAGATAAATGTTAGATAGATGATATATAGATAGATGTTATAGACAGATCGATAGATAGATGTGATAGATAGATAGATAGATAGATAGATAGATAGATAGATAGATAGATAGATGTTAGAGATAGATAAATGATAGGTAGATAGGTAGATAGATAGACAGATAGATAGATAGATGTTAGAGATAGATGGATGATGGCTACATAGATAGGTAGATAGATAGATAGATAGATAGATAGATAGATAGATAGATAGATAGATAGATGTTAGAGATAGACAGACAGACAGAGAGAGATGACTGTGGTCATTTGAATAAGAATGTCCCCCATAGTCTCAGGCTTTTGAACACTTGGTCCCCAGTTACTGGCACTGTTTGGAGGTTTAGGAGGTGTGGCCTTGCTGAAGGAAGTGTGTGACTGGGAGCAGACTTAGAAAGATTAAATCTTTGAGCCACTTGTAATTCACTCTCTCTGCTTTATGCTTGTAGATAAGGGTGCTAACTCTCTGCTTCTGGCTCCTGATATATGCTTTCCCACCACTAACCCTTGGAATCACAATTCAAAACAAGCTCATTCTTCTACAAGTTGCTTTGGTTACAGCATTTTATCATAGCAACAAAAAAGTAACTAACATAATCATAGATGATAGATACATGATTGATAAATAGTAGGACAGATAGTGATAGATTAAGGGAGAGGAGAGACTAGGGTCCTTCAGTCCCTTCCAAGGGCATAACTCAATGACCCCATGACTTCTCTCAAGTCTCCACCTCTTAACGGTCCATAGGGCCTCCCAGTACTGCCATTCTGGAATACCTATCCAAACCTTTTTCTGACTGTGTGACCTTGGGGAATTTTGGTGATATTCTCTTGTCCCTTAATACCTGATATGTCCAAGAGGGTTAAATGAGATGGAGTCTGCAAAGCTGTTCCTCATGCCCACAGTGAGGCTGCAATAATGTTGGTGTTGGTGATTGTGCAAACTCTCCTCTGAGAGCACACCCTCCTTAGAACTTTCTACAAAGCTTTAGACATCTATCTTGTTACAGCTAAGACTAGATGGGATATCAAACTTCCTCTTCCACTTCCTCCCCCAGAACATCAGGGAATATAATGGTCTTGTTTTGGATTGCTAGTATTTTTGCTAGTATTAGCAATACTAACACTACCCTATATGCCCGGGCTGGTCAATACTACTTGGAGAGCTTTCTTTTTTTTTTTTTTTTTTTTTTTTTTTTTTTTTTTTTTTTTTTTTTTTTTTTGTGTGTGTGTGTGTGTGTGTGTGTGTGTGTGTGTGTGTAGGAGGTGGACATGTGTGTGTGTGAGGGCATATGTATGGAAGGATGGGCATATGTGTGTGTGGCATGTGCACTTGTGTACATGAACATAAACATGCATGTATGCATGCAAGTGAGGAGGCCAATGGTCAACATCAGATCTCTTTCTCAATTGTGCTCCACCTTATATTTTTGAGACAGTTTTCACTGAACCTGGAGCTCCTCAACTGTTTAGCCCATGCTCCAGGGATCACCCTAGCTCCAAACCCTAGTGCTGGGTTACAGGTATCAGTCATCATTCTTGACTTTTACATGAATTTTAGAGATCCAAACTCAGGTCCTTATTCTTGTAAAGGAAGCATTTTACTAACAGACCTGTCTCTTTAGACTCTATATGAAGCACTTTTCTTGTAGTATCTCATCTAGTCTTTGTGAACAGCATTAAGGAGTCTCCCTTAACCACTGCAGTTTTAATTTACTTTCTGATGCCTCCTTTTTAGTCTAGTTTCTTTTTAAATGTGTTTTCTTTTATTTGTTTTTGTGTTTTGATACAAGGACTCACTAAGTACCCTGGTGTGGTGGTTTGAATAGGAATGGCCTTCACAGGCTCATATATAAGTGCTTAGTCATTCACGAGTGGTCCTACTTGAGAAGGATTAGGAGGTGTGGCCTTTTTAGAGTAGGTGGGTCCTTGTTGGAGTAAGTGTGTCACTGGGGGTGCGCTTGAGGTTTCAAAAGCCCAAGCCACGTCCCGTCTCTCTTTCTGCTCTCTGCAAATCTGGTTGTAGAACTCTCAGCTACTTCTCCAGCACCATGTCTGCCTGTTCCCCACCATGATGATAACTGACTAAACCTCTGAAACTGTAAGGCAGCCCAAATTAAATGCTTTTTCTTATAAGAGTTGCCATGGTCATGGTGTTTCTTCACAGCAATAAAACACTGACTAAGACACTTAGGCTGGCCTAAGACTCAGTACAGAGAGCAGATTGGCCTTCCACTCTCAGAAAGCTGCTTGAATCTGCCTCCCCCGGCACTGGCATTAAAGGCCCACACAACCACACCTGGCTTGACACTTTTGACTTACTTTGACTCTTTAGATTCCCAGTCAGTCGAGAGAATAAATTTGAATTTCTCCTTGAGCAACAGCAGGAACTCTGCCCCAAGCCCTGGTGCCCTCCAGGTATTTATGAGACGCGGGGGAGGGTAGGAGATGACGTCTTTACAGTAGTGACGTGACCATGCTGCCACCTGTGTGCCCCCTCATCTCTGCACCCTCACAGCTCCTGGCCAGCCACACCGCTGGGGGCTGCTTGCTGTTGGGCTTTTTTTTTTTTTTTTTTATCAAAGTCAAAGCCATATGGCAAGTCCACAGTGAGGAAAATGCACTTATTTTTCAAAAGGTCAGCCTCACATGCTAAGAACGAAATGTAAATTAAAGCCAGGTCTGTGTTCCACCTCTGCAACTGACAAAGATAAAAAGACATTGCACACGCAGTATTGGGAGAGCTGTGATCAAGATTGCCATGTGCCACCTGCGAGAGAGGGGATAAATATTCAACTACAACAAGCAAGTGTTATAATTGACTTGTCAAACCAATAATTCAACCCTGAGGAGAATATGCTGAGAGAATCACTGGCATTTCACCAAATGTATTTTTATTTTGGTATAAAAAATATCCATCATAGTGTTACTTTTATTACTGAAAAATGAGAAGCCACCTAAAACTCCACTGATTGAAGGCTAACTGTTAAATCAACAGAGAAAATTTTAGTGCCATAGGAACTAAGCCAGCCAAGCCAGCTCAGGTCTCGGGTGGAAAGGATGAAGATGTAATAGTGGTGTAGATGGACCACTCACAGCATTCGGCTCTGCTGTAAAACAGGGCACTATCTAACGCCTTCCTGCTAGAGCGGCACTGTGGGAGAGCAAGGTAAATTAACTGCCCTCTGCACAACTTGACTCACCTACTTTTCTACAGAGATTGCATTTCATTTAGTAGAAATACCTCTCTCTCTCTCTCTCTCTCTCTCTCTCTCTCTCTCTCTCTCTCTCTCTCTGTCTCTCTCTCTCTCTCTCTCTCTGTCTCTCTCTCTCTCTCTCTGTAGGTAAGGGCATTCTCAGCTCTGTTGTGGTTTCCATTGTACAATGGCCCTTGGAACACACTGGCCTCTTCCTTACCAGCTCTGTTTCCATCCAGAAATTGGTCAACCTGGAGTCCTCAGTGATGGGACTCAGGTTTTAGGACTGTGGCCTCTAGAGTCATCTGCTGAGGCCTGTGGCTGCATTCCCAAACTAGTCATTCTGTGAGCACAAAGTCAAACAGGATTCCATAGGACACCACAGATCCCCCGAGCAATAAACCTCCATGTCACATGCCTCAATTTCATTGAAACTGAGGCCAGTATGGGAAAGCATTCCTCTGAGATCATCCATGCAGGTTCTGATGTCTGTCTATGGCTTGTGTGATATATGATTTCTTTTTGGTGCTGTTTGGTCTTTTAAGACAGAGTCTCCCTATAAAGCTTTGATTGGCCTGCAACTCATTATGTAGCCCAGGTTGGCCTACGACTTGTGATCTTCCTGCCTCTGCTTCCAGCTTGCTGAGGTTGCACCGATTTTATTCATTATTACATCAATATGGCTGGCTGAGCTATATAGTTCTATTGCCCTTGTATTGATAGCTTTTCTTTCTAGCAGGCCTGGGGATGACCCTTGACCTTCACAGCCACTTAACAAGGTCAGCATCATTGATACCTTTTCCATAAGAAGGCTGGTGTCTAGAGGGGTGCTGGAGAGGATCAGCCCCTATAAGGCCTGGAAGGACCTCATGAGCCAGTCTGGGGTCCAGAACTGGGCCAGCAAGGGAAAGCTCTTCTCTGTCTAGGGTTGCAAAGAAAAAAGGCAGACATCTCTGGAGGAAAGAGGCAGCCCAAGGCAGGACCCAAGCCAGAGGAAAAGAGAATTAGGGTAATAAGAAACTGAATACATGGGGCATTTATGGGGGGCATTTATGGGGGCCTTTGATTGAGCTAAGCCTGAAGCAGTTTCTTCTCAGTGATTTGAGGTAATACAGGATAGCTCCTCTACTCTCTCTCTCTCTCTCTCTCTCTCTCTCTCTCTCTCTCTCTCTCTCTCTCTCTCTCACACACACACACACACACACACACACACACACACACACACTCTCTCTCTCTCTCTCTCTAACTTACTTTGAATAAACTACTTGCTATCAACATCTTCTATCATCTTGGGCAGATTAGGCCCATCTTACAGTTGAGGAAACTGAGGCCGACCAGAAGTGAGAGCCAAGCCACCATCCTCAGCCCTTTCTGGTCTCATAGTTTTCTGCCATGGCTGCCAGGAGTCAGAGGTTCCTCATCCACCGGATTTCCCAATGGCTCCACTCTGGCTCTGATCTGGCAAGGAGCCATGTAACTACCACACCTGTGGCCCCTTCTGGGAGACAGTCCTTCCACATCCACCCCGACTCTTCAGTTATCCAGGTGGGAACCCCTTACCTGCAGCAGAGGCCCAGGTGACCCAGGATCCCCATAGGCACCTCTGGAGAGAAGGGAAACGGAGACAGCTGTACACAGTGTGTCCACCCCTGCCCCAACCACGCTCCTGTCCCACCTGACCGCACCGCAGTGACTGGCTCACCTGTAAATCAGTACCTCGTCGTCGGAGCAGTTGTACTGCAGCTGATACATCTTCACTCGGGGAGCTGACTTGCTGACAGACCACTTGACCAGGGCAGATGTGGTGGTTACGTCGGACACAAGAACAGCCCTCTCCGGGGCACTTTTGGGAGGCTCCCCACCCCCACTGCCTCCCCCTCCCCGGCTGGTCTTGCTGGAACCCGTGATGTCCGAAAGGCGAGACTTGGGAGGCGCCATCCGACTAGTGCTGTTGCTGAGGTGTGGGAGCTGGACAATGGAGACCTCCACTGAGGCCGTGGCCTCTCCTGCGGCGTTAGCTGCAATGCAGGTGAAGGCTCCGCTGTCCTGAGAGGTGGTGATAAGGATGTCCAGGGTGCCGTTGTCATATGCAGCAGTCCTGGAGGAGTTCCCCACCAGGCGGTCATCAGGGGCGACCCAGTGGATCAGGGGGCTAGGGTCCCCAATGGCCTTGCACTTGAGAGTGGCTGCTTGGCCCTCCAGAACCAGCAGCTTGTGTGTGTGCTGTGTGATGAGAGGTGGCTCACACACAAACTCCTCCTCACGAATATGCCAAAAATAGCGACCCTTGAGGCCTCCAGGGGACCCACAGGTCTCCAGGTCGTCATCCCTCTCCAGCCTGCGCAGCCAGAGAAGCTCACAATTGCAGTGCAGCGGGTTTCCCCCAAAACTGAAAGACAGGGGCGGGGCAAAGGGCGTGGCGGTCAGCAAGGAGGCCTGGGAGCGGGCAAAGATGGGGTCCGGGGGCAGCTTCTGCAGCCGATTGGATGTGAGGTCCAGGCGGGCCAGCTTCTGAAGGTCTGCAAAGGTGCCCTCGGCGATGTGGTCCAGCAGGTTGTGGTCCAGACTCAGTTGGTGGAGGTTGACCATGCGCCGTACAGAATCCCAGGGTAGTCCGTGGAGGTTGTTGTAGGACAGGTCCAGATCTTCTAACGTCAGCAGGAAGTCCTCAAAGGCATCATCAGCGATGCCACCCAGCTGGTTATTGTTCACGATAAGGTGCTGCAGGTTGACCAGGCCCCGGAGTGTGTCCTCCCCAAGGCTGGGCAGTCGGTTGCTGTCGAGGTGCAGGGATCGGAGACTCTCGAGATCCAGAAAGGAGAAGGGCTGGATGTGGCTGATTGTGTTCCTAGACAAGGTCAGATCCACCAGTCCTGTCATGTTGGCAAAGTCCTGGCGGCCAATGTGGATGATGAAGTTGCCACCCAGGCGCAGCTCCACCGTCCTCCGGTCAATGTCAGGGGGCACAAAGAGGAGCCCCTTGGAGGGACACAGGGTCCCCAGTGACTCAGACAGGTTCTGGCAGACGCAGTACTTGGGGCAGGCATCGACCACAGCAAACGCCATGCCAAAAGCCAGCAGCCCACCAAGCAGAGTCTCCATGGTCTGGTCACTCAACCTCGGCACCTGGGAGAAGGAACACAAGGTTAAGGTCAGCAGGTGATTTCCCTTACCAAGAGCTTCCTCCCTCCAAGGAATGACGCACTGCCTCAGGGAACAACAGAGACAGGCTGGGTCCAGACAAGCACTCATGTCTTTTCATTTAACTCTTCTAATGCATTTCTACTTTATCTTTTTCGCCTTAGCTGTTATCATCTCCTAAGGACTTGATTCTCTGTCTTTGTGTTTACAGATTGTTTCCTATATAACACATATCACATGAATTCCATGATAGCAGACCTTCCATCTGGTTTATGAACTGCTGTGTCCCAAATAATTCCCACAGTGCCCAGATACCTGGAACATCCTACTTCCTCAGTTGGGATTTGTTAGTTGGTGGGTGGACAGATGTGCAAGTGGACAGACGGAGGGACGATAGTTGGATGAGTGACTGGCTGAATGGATAGATTTGGTATTGGTATGTCTATAGATGAAGGGATGTGTGAGTGGATGGAGGGAAGGATGGATGGGTAAATGGGTAGGAGGGTGGATGGATGGGTGGCCAGGTGGATAGATGGGTGGATGGGTTAGTGGATGAATGAGTGGATAGATGGAGAGATGGATGGGTAGATGGGAAGGTGCATAGGTGGGTGTATGGGTAGGTGGTTAGGTAGATGGGAGGATGTAAGGATGGATGGGATGAATGGGTAAATATACAGATGAATTTCACAAATGTGTGGATGGAGAGATGGATGGATAATACCATGTCAGTGGTTCAACCAATAACCTTTGTGTTTGAAGTACATGCTGTAGTTATCTGGTGAAGTACAGTGTTAATCCCTTAGTTAGTTCAGGGAAAGCATAAAAGTGGACTAGCATTCCTAAAGGAGAAGGATGTAGTCAGGAAGAAAGTTGACCCTGGGACAAGCCACTTAGATACCAGCTCTTGCGTTTAGGGAAGAGAAGGTGGTAAAGGAACATGCTTCTGAGGACTGGACAGGTGCTAGGTCCTCTCTCTGGACTCTGCCCACCCACAGTAGTCCATGGGCTTCAGGGGCATGTGTTACAAGGGAAGGATTGCCTGTGTGCAAGGTGGGAACTCCCTCACAGCCTACCAGAATCCCTGTTCAAAAGTTACCTTCTTGTTGAGGCTTCTCCTGATACCCTATTCCCATGACACCCTGACATACACACACACACACACACACACACACACACACACACACACACACACACACACACACACACACACCTCTTGCCAGCTGGGTATGCTCTCTCACCTCAGGGTGCTCAGAGCCTCACTCACTGTCCAGCACTTAGTAGGCCTTAGTAGGCATTTTTCTTGGATTGACATGTAGAGTAGAAAAAATGAATTTGTTGGAGTTTTTACCCCTCCCAATTCTACAGTTTTCACCCTATTCCATGCAATAACAATTATGTACCTTTTTTGTGTAATGTTAAACCCAAGCCATTGGGTTGGACTGTGAGAAAATCCTGTGTGCTGCTTGCACAGCTTCCTAAAGACCAGCATTTCTCAAATTGGCTTCTCTGAGTACTAATTAGGTTCCACAAAAGTGGCTTCAGAGGCCAATAAGCTGGGATGCGCTGCCCCCTTGCTTGCTCGAGTGAACGTTCTGTGCATGTTAACAAGTTCAGGAGAACTGAGATAGTCTGCGGTAGGGAAGACACTGGGTTGAGGATTAATTTGGTGCTGATTTTGGGTTTTTCTTTTGTTTGCTTTGTGCATGTGTGCGCACTCGTGTGTCTTCAGGTGCCCGGGTATGTGTGTGGAGGCTGGAGGTTGACAATGCATGTCCTCCTCATTTGCTCTCCACCGTAGTTTTTAAAACAGTGTCTCTCACTGAACCTGGAGCTTACCGACTAGGCTAGCCAGTGAGCTTCATCTCCATCTGTCTTCACCTCCCCGGAGCTGAGATTATAAGTAACATTTGCCTGGATTTCACATGGGTGCTGGGGATCTGAATGTAGTCCTTCTTACTCATATAGTAAGCACTTTATCAGCTGAGCCACTGCCCAACCCTATTCTTGTTTTTGAGCAAGTTATTAATATTTAAAGGAAGTAGAATTCCATAGGTCTCAATTTGAGTACCACAGATACGGAGAAAGCACCCAGCAGGTGGTATATGTATATATAATTTGATGGTTTGAATGAGATGTCCCCCACAGTCTTAGGCATTTGAACACTTAGTCCCCAATTGATGATATTGTCTGAGTGGTATAGGAGGTTTGGTCTTTTTTGTTTGTTTGTTTGTTTTTGTTTGTTTTGAGACAGAGTTTGGAGCCTGTCCTGGAACTCACTATGTATCCCAGGCTGGCCTCGAACTCACAGAGTTCTGCCTGCCTCTGCCTCCTGAGTGCTGGGATTAAAGGTGTGCGCCACCACCGCCCAGCTTGGAGGTGTGGTCTTCTTGGAAGAAGTATATCACCTGAGGCAGGCTTTGAGTTTAAAGAGTCTCATCATTTGGAGTTCACTGTTTGCTTTGTGTTTATGGCTCAAGACATGAGTCCTCAGCTTCCTGCTTCTGTGGTCATGCTGCACCCTGCCACCAAGGAAGGATTCCTAACCCTCTGGAACTATAAGCTCAAATAAACTCTTTCTTCTATGTGTTGCCTTGCTCATGGTATTTTCTCACAGCACCAGAGGAGTGACTAGTATGTACTATACACACGTACCATACATATAAAAGCCTCGTCTAACCATATGTTTGGTTATACAGATTTCAATTCTATTTATGGTGCCTCTTGGTGCCTCTTTAAGGGCGATCCTCCCTTGAGACCCTTCAAGGACCAGCTGCTTTCCAACATTTCACCTGTAGATGGCGTTGTGCTGAGAACAGCTATGTCCAACAGAAACTCAGTATGAGCCAAATGTAATTTTAGACTTTCCAGTAATAATCTCTTCTCTAAAATCAGAGAAAGTTCATTTTAGTAGCATATTGCATTTCACCCACAATATCATTTCAATGTCATCAGTGCCATTATTGACGAGATGTCGAGTATTCTTTTATTGTACGAAGACTTTGAAATCTGGTGTGTATTTCACACTTACCAGCACATCCCAAATGATCCTCCTCCATATTAGGGTTCCCTTAATGATCAAGCCTGTGAACTACTGCTGTCTGCTGTCTGTTTTGTAAACAAAATTTTATTAACACATGGCCCACTCATTCCTTTGCATCTTGCTTAGACCATCTTCCTTAACCGTGTGGCAGAGGTGAGTGACGGAAGAACACAGGCCCAGCAAAAAGCCAACAGGGCTTTACTTCTTTTCACTTTCCTCATTGCCTGTCAAATCTGCCACATATCTAATTCCTTACAGTGCTGCTCCAGGCCCCTCAGGAGCAGCTGCAGGCCAGCCAGTAACTATCATCACCAAACTCCTCCCAGAGGCAGAGCAGTCCCCTGGCCCAGTCCCACCAGGTGTCTCCATCTCTGGCTGTCAATCACAGGAGGACTCTACCTTTCTCTGTGCTCAGAGGAGATCTGGTCTTCCAGGTCCACACTGGGCAGTGCCTAGTCAAGGGTGCAGGAAATCTTCACCAACCGCTTTTGTCAGGAAACCTGGAGCCAGTCCCAAGGCTGTCTACCTACTTACTTCTCAGGCAGCATCTTCTGCTCGGCCCTCCACATCGCTCTCAGTCAGCCCTGCCAGACCTCAGTGCAGCGTGGATAGTGGTCTGCCTACAGTGTGGATCCCTTCGTCTGTGACCTTTGTCACCTGTTACTACACAGCTGAGGTAGTAAAGAAAGCAGGGAAGGCGGGAGACACACCCGGAAGCCAGCCGGAGAAGCCCAGACGCCATTGCTTGAGACAGTGTCATCCTACCAAATGATGTTAAGCAAACCACAATTTAAAAAATAAGTTTGTTGAGGATTAGCAAATGTCTAATGAATTCAAATGGGTGACATAATAGAGCTGGGTAAATATATTTTAAATAATCAGCATGGAGGATTGCTGACAGACAAGTGACTATTGAATCTTAATTAAAATTGTATTCTGAGAATTGTCACTTAGCCCATTACTCTAGCAAACAAAAGGCTGCTTCACCCCCAGTTTTGAAGAGGGGGTGTCTGAAGAAATGGATAAATCTGCCTGAATCAGGCAGAGGAGATGGGGAGGTGCTTCCCCTTTGAGTCAGGAATTTGAACAAAGGCTGGGAAAAGAGACTAACCTAGGTGCCTTCAAGCATTTCTGAGTGGTGTGGGTGGCAGAGGGGAATAGAGACAGGAGATCTGGGCTTGCCCAGGGAAGGAGAGCCATGGAAAGCTGCTGATGGGCATGGCTGAAGGACTGTTGGTGAGCTGAGAGCAGAAGCTATGGAAGGATCTCTGCTATCAAATGTCACAATCAGCCTGCAGAGGAGTCGGCGATGGGCAGAGAAGGCAGGGCTGCCCATGAGGAGCGTCTGTGAGCCAGCACTGGAGGAGAGGATGGCGGAGAGACAGAATTGAAAGAGTAAGACAAGGTTCTTTGAATCTATAGTGCCTTAAAGTTAGCTTAGACTTGGGCATCCATCTAGTGTGGGAATGGTACCCGCTCCTTCCGCCATTGGATATCTTCATGTGGTACAATTCTGTAAGGTAACAGCTCGCAACTGTAAGGTACCCTTGCGCAGTGAGAAAAAGATGCTCCCACAGGGTTTTTGCAGAGCACCCTAACAGAGCAACCTTGCACAGTGAGTGACCTGCTCCACCATGCCTTGTGGCCTTGTGGCTCTGTGCACTGGTACCCGCATTTAAGCTACTGGGCAATGAGATTCAAAGCAGTTGGACCCAACTGAACACTCTTCTCCACTGTGGAAAGAATTGCCACTTACTCAGGATTGCCTGGCTCCAGGCCATACTCCAAGCAAAGGAGCCCCCCCACCAAGGCATCCATGTGCCTGGGTATACCCAGAACTGGCAGCCTCTACTATGGATCGCTTAGGAACCGGAGATAACCCAGCTGTTCCACTACATTTGAGCACTGCGTTTTCTGCTCGGAGAGAAACTCGAAAGGAAGGCTG